TGGGGCACCCCATGTAAGCGAATGATCTCCTTGGCGAACAGCTCGGCGATCGACTTGGCCGTGAACGGGTGAGCCAGGGAGCAGAAATGGGCGTATTTGGACAGGCGATCGACAACTACCAGGATGGTATCAGCCCCCTTGGACTTGGGCAGACCGCAAATAAAGTCCATAGAAATGTCCTCCCAGATGCGTTGCGGCACCGGCAGTGGTGTTAGTAATCCCGCCGGTGAGAGAGCGTCGGTCTTGCATTGTTGACAGGTGACACAGCGGCCAACATACTCCCGAACCCTCTGTTTCATGCCCTTCCAAAATACTACCGCTGCCAAGCGTTTATAGGTGCGAAGGAAACCGGAGTGGCCCCCGACGACGGCGTCATGGAACTCGTAAAGAGTTTCAACACCCATGAGGATGAGGCAGGGACAACTAACCTCGATTTAAACAAAAGCAGGCCATTTTGGATGCTATATCCCAGAACCGTCCCTGCATCCATACTTACTTTGGCCGCTACTGCCACACAGTGAGGGTCCTCTAACTGCTCCTCCCGAAGGGCCTCAAGGTCAATTGGCTGTGGAATGGACAGAGCCGTCAAGGTGGCCATATCATTCTCATCCCTCTGGGATAGCGCATCCGCCACGCGGTTGGCCGCTCCTGGTTTATACTGGACCTCAAAGTCAAATCCAAAAAGTTTGGACACTAACCGAAGCTGATCTGGCGCCAAAACTCGCTGGTCCAAAAGGTGGCGGATACTTTGCTGGTCTGTTCGGATGATGAAGTGTCGACCGATGAGGTAGTGCCGCCACTTTTGGACAGCCAGAACAATGGCCAGGAGTTCTCTCTCGTAAACTGATTTCCAATGAGCAGAGGAAGAGAGACCCTTGCTAAAGTAAGCGATGGGCCTACCTTCTTGCATGAGCACTGCCTTTACTCCACTCTCGGAAGCATCTGTTTCCACTACAAACAGCTTGCCGAAGTCTGGCAAAGCTAAGTCAGGAAGGGCAGACATCAGTAGCTTTAATTTTTGAAATGCTTCCTCAGCCAGGGAAGTCCACTGATACGCTCCTTTCTTGAGTAATTCAGTCAAGGGGCGTGTGAGTACACCGTAACCTTCCACAAAGCGGTGGTAATAACCGGTCAAGCCGAGAAAACCTCGTAGGTCCCTTATTGACCGCGGACTGGGCCAGGAAGTGATGGCCTGCACCTTCGAGGGATCGGCAGACACCCCTTCCTTCGAAATTATGTGGCCGAGGTAATCTACCTGGTCTCGGCCAAACGTGCACTTCTTGGAATTGGCGTATAGCCGCTCACGGTGCAGCACCTGTAAAACCAACTCCAGGTGCCGGACATGCTCCGCCCGAGTGCGGCTGTAAACCAAGATATCGTCAAAGAAAACTAACACAAATTTACGCAAGAAGGGGCAGAATACCGTATTCATCAAGGACTGAAACGTGGCCGGGGCATTGGTGAGACCGAAGGGCATGACGAGGAACTCGTAGTGCCCTTCGTGGGTTTGAAAAGCTGTCTTCTCCACATCTTGCTCCCGCAATCGAATTTGATGATAACCTGAGCAGAGATCAAGCTTGGAAAAAACGCTGGCCCCATGAAGCTCATCCATCAATTCGTCGATGATGGGAATGGGAAATTTATCCTGAATTGTCAGTTGGTTTAACGCCCTGTAGTCCACGCAAAATTGCCAGCTTTCGTCCTTCTTGACCAACAGCACAGGGCTTGAGAACGGGCTGGTGCTTGGACGGATTATTTCCGACGCTAGCATCTCCCCAACCAGGCGTTCTATCTCCCCTTTCTGGAAGTGGGGGTACCTATAAGGCTGTATATTTGGAGGAGAGACTCCTTCCCGCAACACAATATGATGGTCCCGAGCGCGTCGTGGGGGCAACCCCACTGGGCAGTCAAATACTGACTGGAACTGGTCCAGGAGACCGACCAATTCAAGGGGTACGTTCCTGGCCGAGGGTCCTTGATCCTCCTCACTTACCACCCCTATCTCGAGTAATACTCCAAATTGTTCAGACAGCAGGGAACGAGCAATGGAGCGAGCACTCACCTTAGCACAACATAACGTTGGGTCCCCTTGGAGGCATACCCATTGGTTTCCCGCCAAGTACTTCAGCGTGAATTGGGTCCAATCTGCCCGGACTTCCCCCAGAGTACTCAACCATGTGACCCCCAATACCATGTCCACATTTCCCAAGTCAAATGGAAAGAAGTCTTCAATTACTTGGTGTCCTTGAATTACGACCAGCACCAAACGACAAACCCCTTCTTGTTGGAAAATCATTCCATTTCCCACCTGAATCTTATGCTGGACGGTGAGGTCTTGGGGCAAGTCCAGGTCCTTCACCAAAGTAGACGAGATGAAGCTGTGGGACGCACCACTGTCGACAAGAATAGTGACCTCCCGTCCACTAATCGTCCCCCTAACCTTCAGCGTTTTCGCCGAGGAACAGCCGTTAAAGGAATTGAGTGATAGCGCAGCTATTTCTGCCTCCGCTGGCCCCGTCGGAACGTGCACCTCTTCTCCCATCGCCGGCTCTTCCGTGCACTCGTCCTCAGAGTCGTCGTCCGTGAGCATCAGTACCTGCAGCGACCGACTTTTGCAGCGGTGCCCCGGGCTATATTTCTCATCACACCTAAAACAGAGTCCGTGAGCCTTCTGTTGCTGTACCTCGTCGAAAGTCAGCCGGCGGAATCCGGTGTCTCCGCTAGAATGGGGCCGTGGTCTCGAAGTTTCCCCCGCGAGCCCTTTCTGTTGGGGGTTCAGATCTCGACCTAATTGGGATTGAAGGGAGCTATCTCGAGACTCCAAGGCATTAGTCGGTGTTAGTGGGCTTGCTCCGGGTCGACCCGAATATTCCGGCTTGGAGAACCGCCCCACCCGACTCCGCCGAACCCGGTCCGCTGCCTCCAACCGGTCTTCTACCTGTTGGGCCAAATCTAAGGTCTCAAGCAAGTTCATGGGCCGGTGCATTTTAACCTCGGCCCGTATGTCTTCCCGGAGCCCATTTAGGAAGGCCCCTCTGAAAATGGGCTCTGGTACCCCTCTCAAGGAAGCAGCCAGGGCCTCAAAGGAGTCCCTGTACTCAGCCACTCCTCTTGTCTGCCGGAGCGCCATCAAATGTTCCGTTGGGTCTCCTTGTGCGCGGTTGAAACGCTGAATGAGGGCCGTCCTGAGTTCTCTCCAGCTGGTGAAAGGCTCCTGTGCGTCAGTCCACTGGAACCATCTGAGAGCTCGTCCTTCCATACAGATGGAAGCTGCCAGAATCCGTTCATCGTCTTCTATGTCATTCACGGCGATGTAGCGCTCGGCTCTAAACACCTAACCGTACGGGTCCTCCCCCTAGAAGACCGGCAATTCCAGCTTCTTCCCGCGAAAGTCGCCTCGTCCCCTGGGACGTCCTGGTGAGTTCTGGCGCGGTGCTCATCGGATCGTAGATTCTTCCCGAGGAACCGCCCGATCTCTCTCCGGTTCTCGTCGCGGTAGTGTCTGATCAGGGTGCCTGGCCCGTCCTCTTTCTGGATGCTCCCTGTCCAACAGCTGTGCTTGCCTCTGCAACATCTCCTCGATTCTCTGCATCAATCTATGCAGCTCCCCCACACTAGCATCCAACCGAGTCACATCCTCGTGTAGCTGGGGTACCCGACAGTAATAGCTCCAATTATCTTAAGTGTGTCACGGACGTCATCAATTTGATGCTCCACCATAGCCATTCGTTTTGCAACGCGCGATTCTTGAGGTCCGGTGGCCATGGGAGCGGTGGCTCTGATACCAATGATAGGAACCCAGGAACTTATGGATAGTTTTCTTTATTACTGAAGGAAAAATGGAAGAACAAAATACATATAGGAGGAATTCGAGGTTCCTCTGCCTCCACAGACTCTAGACTCAATTATATCAAAATATATCCCCTTCTCTACTCTATCAATTCTCTTATATAACCCTCTATCCCCTGGTGGTCTGCCCTATGCATAACTAACTCCTAATCGTGCGCATGACCCGCCCGGATCCCAATGGAATGCCAGGTCAACCAATTCCCAACCTATACCGCCCTCTCCTGAGGGATAGATATTCGCTTTTTGTTCCTCCTAGAGTAGACGAATTTGACGGGAGGGACAAGGGCTCTAACATCTTAGCTATTTTTTGGGGCTTATGGTTAGAAAGGAATAACAGAATCTTTGAGGATCATGAGGAGGATGGGCCTATTCTTTGGGATAAAATAAAGTATTGGGTATCGTTGTGGTAGACCAAAATTTTCGGATTTTATTAGGAGTTGGACTCCTTTTTTAAAGCCTTACCCTTACTCTAGTTTTCTTGCTTAGCCATTGTTTAAGTTGTTTTGATCTTTTTTGTTTTGTGGTTTAGCTTTTCTGGAGGATATCTCTCCCTCCCTTCCCTTTCCTACATTATTAATAAAAGTCTGTTTCTTCTCAAAAAGAGAAAAAAAAAAAAAAAAAAAAAAAAAAACCCCTACTTATTTTTTTTTTAAAAAAACCATTTAAAATTTTGTTTTTTTAAAAAAAAGAAAAAAAAAAAAAAAAAAAAAAAAAAAATCCACTACTGATTTGTCTTGTACAAATACCATTTAATATATTGATTCTAAGAATGTCAAGTAAATGGAACTGAACGGATAAGAATAATGTAGTTTATCTTACTGACTTTAAGTTATTAGCTAGTATTATTATGCTATATGCTTTAATATTAAGAACTTTTTTCTTTCTTCCCACATTGTCCTGCAAACTGGCGTTGCAGTTCCACTACTGATTTGTCTTGTACAAATACCATTTAATATATTGATTCTAAGAATGTCAAGTAAATGGAACTGAACGGATAAGAATAATGTAGTTTATCTTACTGACTTTAAGTTATTAGCTAGTATTATTATGCTATATGCTTTAATATTAAGAACTTTTTTCTTTCTTCCCACATTGTCCTGCAAACTGGCGTTGCAGTTTACTTAAAGATGCTTCATAATATGATACTGCAGCAAGGAAGAGATATATTGAATCCAAACTTGAGTCCTTGGATCAGCAGTCTTTTGCCATTGCATCCTATCTGAAAGTCTTGGAGTCAGCTAAGGAAAAAAGAGATGTCCAGAAAAGGTTCTTATTTAAAATAACTTTGTACTGTTAACTTGCAATAATCTTTATGAAGATGTACACGTTTCACTACTTCTGATGTAGAGGTACGGGTATTTAGTATTATATATCTGCTTTCTCATTTGTAGCAAATACAACATTGCCGATGGTATGCGGCAGATGTTTGATCCTTTTGAGAGAGTTGCCCGTGCTCATCATGTTTGCCCTTGCTGTGAACGTCCTTTCTCTGCACAAGAAGAAGACGAGTTTGTTAAAAAGGTTGCTGTATATTGTTGCTTCAATATTTCAGAGCTTTCTACAAGCTGTAGTTTTCCCAGTAGATAGCCATTTCAAATCAGACGTGTTTAAACTTTAAATCAGGTGGCAATTGCTTAGCTGTAGAGTACATGAGTTTGTTGTATTTATTTCTGAACTGGCTTATATTCTTGCGAGTTACAGCAAAGAGTGAAGGCTGCAAGTTCTGCTGAGCATATGAAAGTGTTGGCAGTAGAGTCCGCCAATGCTGAGTCTTTCTTTCAGCAGTTGGATAAGCTTCGTATGGTTTATGAAGAATACATTAAAACTGGCAAGGAAACAATCCCAAATGCGGAGAAAGATTTACATGAGCTTAATGAGGAGCTGAATCAGAAATCTCATGCCCTCGATGATGTAATTATCAAACCCAGTACATATAGTTTTTGACTATCTCAGTCTTGCCGCTGAGTTGTTGCTGAATTCTGTTGAATGCATTTGGACTATATATCTTTTTACCACCGTCTTTTACATAGGAGAATTTGCAAAAATTGAATGATAGATATCACCCTTTTTATGGTTTAGCAGAACCAGGGCAAGAAAACGTTTCCCTATTCCCAATCATCTCAAATCAATTTTTCTTTCTTCTTTGGGAGATCTATGTCTTTATTTTTCCATGTTTCCACTCCATGAATCTTGTTGAGGTAATTTGTGCATGGGAAAGGGATATAAGAAACATATATTTAGGTTTCTTCTCAATGATCTCCTGATAAATGCCATTTTGATTTCTTGGTTGACATGTTTATTGAATTTTCCCTGCTTTTTCGTATCCCCTACCATGTAAAACTTATGCCCGTATTTCGGAATAGGTGGTGGCTGTTTTAGCTCATGTACAGGCTGATAAATCTGCAGTTGAGGCATTAGTTCAACCAATTGAAACTGCTGATAGGTTATTCCAAGAAATTAAAACTTGGCAGCAACAAGTTGATGAGTTGGAGAATAAACTTGATTTTCCAGGGCAAGGAGTAAGGTCCATGGAAGATATTCAAAAGGAGCTAAGTACTTTGCAGAATACAAAGTATGAAATTTGTTTTTTGACATTTTTTGTAATTTAGTTTTGTGAACGATATATTTGATCAATGAGCAATATCAAACACGTGCACTTTAGAGAATCATGTCTACCGAACATGTATGCGTGTTCTTCCAAATGTTTTCTTCTCTTCTTTTTTTCAATGTTTAGTTATGAGCTGTTTCAGACATGTAAAATGTGCTCAAATGTTATCTCTTTTGTTCACGGGGATATTGTTTTTCATGTGGCAACAGGGATAATTTGCATAATGAAGTAGAGAAGCTGAGGGATGAACAAAGGTACATGGAAAAGGATTTAACGAGCATTCAAATTCGGTGGCACAAACTAAGGGAGGATAAGACCAAAGTGGATAGTGTATTACAAGGTGTAAAAAAAGTAGAAGAAGAGTTGGAACGTTTGGCCGAGGAAAAAGGTCAAGTTGATCTTGATGAAAAGGTATCTTTTTGTGGTATTTATGTCTTGCTGATATCAAATGTACTTGCCTTGCCAGTGTGATAGGACCTGTTAGTTGAGGTAATTAGTAGTTAGTAGTTGTTAGAAGTGAATTAGCAGTATAAAAAGGAGGGATTAGAGTTAGGGATGGGGATGGTCAGATGTGTAGGAAATTTGGGGAAACCCTGGGGGAGTTGCAGCCTCTTGAATGCTGCTATCTTTGTATGTTTCTTCAGTTCATTGATTTAGTCAATAAAGCTTCAATTCTTAAGAAATTGGTAGGTTCCTGACGCAGTGGGAGCTAATTCTTGCTACAATAGTGTACGGATGAGATTCTGCTAAAGCTTGTGTAGGTTCTCTTGGTAGCTTAATCTTTGAAGAGTTTTTCATTTGAAGCTCAGCTTTTGGGTAGGAATTTACAAGTTTATGTGTCCACATATTCATTAATACACGTCTTACTTTTGAGTGATGTGTTGATAATTTAGAGATATGTCTCTGAAATAGCCTCTTAAGAGTTCAGTTGATGTCGCTCATGTTGTTGCCGTTTGAGTAAGAGAATTTGAATGTGAATACTGAAAGCTAAAGAAAAAACTTATCAAGCGGCTATAGAACAGGGAAAGTAAAATTCATGAAACATTTCTCTCTATGTTCTTCTGATTCAAAAGACTGAAATATATCTCCTATGTTGTTCTGATCTAAAATAATCATTTGCTGCTCCAATGTGTGCATTGAAAATCCAGGTTTTGTGTCGGTAAAACAACATTCATAATTGGTGTGCACCAGCTTCTTGAGGTTGAGGCTATACCAAGCCTTTTCTAACCCAGATGTCTTAGCTCTTATCGTCTGACATTCTAATGATTAACTTTGTGGCATTGGCTTGATATCAATGTATTATTTTTGTTATGATATGCAGTCCATTATTATTTATTTTTTGCAATTCCAGCATTTGGCAGAGGCTCTTGGTCCTTTATCAAGGGAGAAAGATAAATCAATGAATGATTACAACGAACTGAAAGTTAAGCTTAATCATGAATATGAGGAACAGGCTGAACAAAAGAGAAGTTATCAGCAGGAAGTTGATTCACTACTCAGGATTAATTCTAAAATAAAAGAGTGAGTTTTGTGAACCTGCTATGTGATTCTCCTGTGTTATGGGACCAGTATTGATCATCAGTTTTGTTCTACCAGGTATCATGACTTAAAGAAAGGAGAAAAGCTGAAGGAACTGCAGGAAAAGCAATCTCTGTCAGAATCTCAACTTCAAGATTGTGAAACTAGGAAGCAGGAGATTATGGCTGAGCTGGACAAAAGTAAAGAGTTGATGGCGAAGCAAAATCAATTACAACGAAATATTGACGACAACTTGAATTATCGGAAAATAAAGGCTAGAGTAGAGAAGCTTGGACAAGAGATTGAATCACTGGAAGAAAGCATGCTGAAGATTGGTCGCATTTCCACGTTTGAGAGTGAACTTCTGAAGCTCTCACAGGAAAGAGAGAGGCTTCTTTCGGAGGTATTTATAAATCTCGTGCATATCATTCTAACTTGTCTTGCTAATAGGGAATTATGGTCAATTGACTATGACTGATGAGACTCAACTTATTAGTTACGATTCTCCAAATCAGCAAAAATAAAATAAAACAATAAACAATAAACAAAAACAGAACAAAACTAAGCATATAAATATACCAAGCATATAAATATATTTGTATGCTTATTATCCTTTAGAAGTGCGTTACTTTATTCCATACTTTTCCTCTTGAAATTAGTTTGATATTTTCATCTGTCCATGGGTATTCTATCCCTTTCCTGCTGTGCCACCTCCTCTTGCTGCTCCGTTTGCTCGCTAGATGTAATCTCGTTCACCCCGAATTTTTTTAACCCTTATTTTTTTTCCTCTTCCTGCTGCGAATCTATTATTCTGTTCACAGTATGCATTTGAATCACCCAAAACATCCAATTATGACTATTCACTTTTACATGGTATGGTTGCAGCAATAATATTTTAAAGTATGGTATGACACGGAATGCATGACACTTCATCTCATTTCTGCTTTTAGCAAGGATACTTATTATGCCTATTTTTCGCATTTTGAGACCTATGGTTTTTTTTTCCACCCCAATTATTGCGGTTAAAGAACCATTTGCGTATTCATTACTGCAATATTCCCCCACATCATTAAGGTGATTGTTTTTCACATCACTCAAATGATAGTTTCAAAATAAAAACACTCTTCAGACGGATGGGAATTTTTCCCCAACGTGTTGAAAGTTTTGAATTGTTAGTTCAACTTGGTATGGAAAATCAAATTTCTAATTTGCATTAGGTCAAACTTGGTGCTTGAAGTCCTGAAATGGTTGATTAGATTTCTTGACAAATAAGTTTTTTTAACAGTTTGATTTTTATAGTTTATTTATTTGTCACAAGTGTAAACAATAAAATAATGGACTTTTTTTCTTATGAAAGTTAAATAGGTGCCGCGGGACGATATCTGTTTACCAGGGCAACATTTCAAAGAATAAGGTTGATCTAAAGCAGTCAATATACAAGGACATCGACAAGCGGCACTTCAATCAGCTAATCCAGCTGAAGGTAGGATAATTGCTTAATATTTTCACTGATATTACTTGCGCAGCATACTAATAACAAAACTTCTGTGACAGACAACTGAGATGGCAAACAAGGACCTGGACAGATACTACAATGCTCTTGACAAGTAAAATTTTCTAATATATATATATATATATCCAAAAGTTGAATGATGTTGATGTCTTAATTCAGAAACAAGTCAGCATATTTGATCATCTATATTTTCAGGGCGCTCATGCGCTTCCACACAATGAAAATGGAGGAAATAAACAAAATTATTAGGGAGTTGTGGCAGCAAACTTACAGAGGGCAAGATATAGATTATATCAGTATCCATTCTGATTCTGAAGGTGCTGGAACTCGTTCTTACAGCTATAAGGTGTGTTATTTTTTCTTTTCTTTTTCTTCTGTACTTGTCTCGGTTCTTTTTTCTTCTAACTACATTTTTGTTTGAATTGCATATTGTACAGGTAGTCATGCAGACTGGTGATGCAGAACTGGAAATGAGAGGAAGATGTAGTGCTGGTCAGAAGGTGAGTAATCTTCAAATTTATTTCTGTCTGATACAATATTGCATAAAAGATTGGGACACTTACGGCTTGATTTCAGGTTCTTGCATCCCTCATCATAAGATTGGCTTTGGCGGAAACATTTTGCCTCAATTGTGGAATACTAGCACTAGATGAACCGACCACAAACTTGGATGGCCCAAATGCCGAGAGTCTTGCCGCAGCACTCCTCAGGTATGACAAGCTGTATTGATGGAGATCATAATAGTATTTACTGAATGTTTATCTTTTATTTGATTAGGGATTATTTTGTTTCTGGATTAGTGTTAGTATTCCATGGTCAAGTTTTGTTTCTTTTTTTAGTTTCCTAATTTCTTATTTGGTTTGTCTACGAGTAAGGTCGTTTGTAATTTCCATTCAAAAAATGGTTGATGGATAAATATTGAGATTTCTGGTTTTCCTTATGTTGAATTCCTGTTCTCTCTGTAAAATCCTCTCTTTGCTATCATTTGATCTCTCTTATCTGTAGTGGTTCTATTGCTCTATCTATATTTTATCTCCCTTCTTGGTCATACATCATTATATGTGAGAATCTATTGTTGGGCGATGACCTTCATTTTCAATATTTCCTTTTTGTTTTTTTGTTTTGTTTTTTGTTTTTTTTGTTTTTTTTTTCTCCTTCAACAGGATCATGGAGGATAGGAAAGGCCAGGAAAATTTTCAGTTGATTGTAATTACCCATGATGAGCGTTTTGCTCAACTAATTGGTCAACGCCAGCATGCAGAAAAATACTATCGGGTGACAAAAGATGATCAGTATGGCCATCTTCATTTCTAAATTCTTATTTTCCTTCTGTTAAGAATTCTCTTCGAAATATTCTTTCTAATTTTATTCGTTTGGCAATATGATCCTTACTTCTCTGGCCTTTCATTTTCAGCCAACACAGCATAATTGAAGCCCAGGAGATATTTGATTGAAGCTTTCCAAATGTGTACTTCTGCTCAAGTGTTCTGTACCATGAAAATGGAAGTGGTCCCAAACACTTGTCAAAATGGAGGTTTTAACGGTATCTCAGAAGCAGAATCCATAAGGGGATCTTGAAATCAACCTGTGAGTTTGTCATGGCATAATTTCGTGTCATTGTTTAAGAACCTATCTTGGCCGGGTCTAAAGAATATTCTCTCTCTGGCCCTTCACTGATAAGTAATAGGTTCCTGTCTGTACTAATCTTGTGCAATAATATTTGTTATTTTATCTCATGATGGTGATTGTTGAATTGACTCTGGAAATCACAAATCCAACTAATATGGACTTCGGAGAGATGTAGAAATAAAGAGATTTCTTTATTAACCTTTGGGTAAAATACTACAAAAACGAGCTGACTATTGTTGCTGACATCAAAAAAAAAAAAAAAAAAAAAAAAGGACCTTTTGTTAGCCAGTATAGAACTGATTTCTTAATGAGATAAATTGTTTCGTCAAGATCAAGTGCCATCCCCATTTGGACCCATATCTCAGGTTACAACTATTCATCATGTAACATCCTTTTTCCTTCAATTTCCAGTGTGTTTTAAAACACACTTGGGCATGTGGCAATTTGAGCTACGTATCGTGTTTTGATTGTTTCTTTTAAATTTGCAGTCAACCCGAATACGATTCGTGATGGATTTTTTTAAAAACCCGCAATATGAACACGACGCGATCACTTTACGAATTGATACGACACGATACGAAAATAACCCGTGACATAAAATTGACCTGTGAACATGAAATTAACACGAAAATTATACTCTTTAATTTTTTTACATATTAAAAATAATTTAAAATTATAACACTCTAAAAATACAGTAACATTCATCAAATTTAAGTAAATAATAGTAAAAGATTTTGAGTATAACTATCATGATATCACAATTAGTTCATAAATAAAATTTAAAATATCTAATGAAAAATGTAAATTTTTTTAGTTTTTTATGAGTTATGTGTCGTGTCTGAATTAGGCGGGTTTAACTTAAAATTGACTTACGTTTTTCATGTTAATTTCAAATCGATTAAATTATAACTTAAGTCTATTTTTTGCTCAACCTTAACCCGTAAAATTCGTATTATTTTTAAGTCTGTGACTCATATTATCGGCCCACACCTCACGTGATAAATTCAAAAATCAAAATAGCCAAGTTTTGGTTGGTGGAAACACTATAGCCAAGTCAACAACATCTCGCATCTCTCGATGAGCAAAAGAGCATCTGGCATCTCCTTTTGATTGCTAGAGCGGCTCCATCTCCTATAAGTGGAGATGCGGGAATGTCTAGGACAGATAATAAAAGTACAGAACTGTACCAACACCTTTTTTTATTCATCCTCACGCTACTTGGCGCAAATTTAGTTGGTCAAGAACTATTATTTTTTGTTCAGCAAAAAAAAGAATTTTTTTTTTTTTTTTTTCCAAATAAAAACTGATACGATTAGAACCCTTAAGCGAATGCTCTTGTTGCCTTTTCTTTTGGGAAAAGAAAGACAAATTCTTGAAGGAGCATATGAATCTGGATTTTTTATCATTTATTCTTAATTCTACCTTCAAAAAGAGGACCCCCAAGCGGGCAAAAACCAACATAAACAGATCAAAAGAACCATTCTTACATTAATGAACACGAAATCCTCCGAATCTACCCAACAAAAGTAGATCTATTCTAACAAATTCACAATCTTTAGAATACTGTTGTAGTAATAAAAAGAGGTTAAATCCACTTTTAAGCCATTATATCTCCATCAAATTATTATACTTTTTTTTTTAATCTAATATGGCTTTCATTTGATTAGACGTTCAAAATTACTTCCAGGTGAATATTTTCTTCCACACAATAGTACAAGCAAAATGAAAATAAAATAAATGTGTGTGCCAGACAACATAAACCGAGCAGAGGTGGAGAATATTTACTTGAGGGCGCGAGCGAGGTACAGAGCTCAGGCTTATCACACGGAAAAGAACGTCTCTCTCATTTCTAACTTCTTCAAAATTTATAAAATCGTAATTCATAGTTTATTGGCAAGATAAAAGGAAACAAGAGATACAATAAGTAAAATAGTAGCTATCGGGAGGACGAAATATCAAACTCCAGCAACTCAGACAAACAAAAACTTTAAAACAATTGAAAATCAACAGCTATCCTACATTGAAGCAAAATACGCATTTTTTACTCCTTTTTTTTTTTTTTTTTTTTTTCTTTTCCCCCCTCGCATTTTAGAAGGGCAATCAAATAAGGCGACTCGGAAGATAAAATTTTCAGACAACAAGTCTTTTAGACTTTATTTAATCCTTGTACTTCATTTCAGAGACTAGGAACCCAGGCATGTCAAAGGATCCCGCAAACTTCTCAATATCAACCTTGAGTGCTTCAATGTCCTTGTTGTTGACGAGGCCCTTGTTGAAGTCCTTCAAAAGCTTTCCATGCTCCTTTTGGATGTTCAAAGTGATGGTCACCGCCCGGTGAAGGAACTCTCCGATCTGCTCGAAGTCCTTCTCAACCAAACCTCTCGATGTCATGGCCGGGGTACCTGCCAACCAAATATCTGGTCACTCAAAAGCTCATTCCAAATTCAACCAAATTCCCGCAGTTCCAAAACTATGCGAGCCCGTGTGAATAATCTGTGGGATCAGTTAAAAACTAATGGTGGTGGGAACTACGCTCAATTCACTATCTGATGTGTTTAGAGTTCTCACCAATTCTAACTCCACCAGGAGCCAAGGCACTGCTGTCTCCAAACACAGCATTCTTGTTAACAGTAATGTTGCAAAGGTCACATAGCTTCTCCACCTTGTTACCTGCAAAGTCGGATTGCATTAGACAGAAAAAGGCATCGCTCGTATCCCTAATGTTCCCCAAATGTAGACAATTAGTATTTACCAGTCAAACCAAGGGGCCTGAGATCCCACAAGACAAGGTGGTTCTCAGTTCCTCCAGTGACAAGCTTGTATCCCTTGCTAATCAAGTAGTTTCCGAGGGCAACAGCATTGGCCCTGACTTGCTTGGCGTAGGCCTTGAAGCCAGGTGCCATGGCCTGCTTTAGGGCAACAGCAAGGGCACCAATCTGGTGGTTGTGGGGACCGCCCTGAAGGGAAGGGAAAACGGCAAAGTTGATCTTGTCTTCGAATTCATAAACTGCATCCTCGGGCTGGCCCTTCTTGGCTGGCTTAGGACCCTTCCTGTAGAAGATCATACCAGCCCTAGGACCCCTAAGACTCTTGTGGGTTGTGGTTGTGACAATGTCACAGTACTCAAAGGGATCTGCAGCTTCCTGTACCAAAAAGAGACAAAAATTATAACTAGAGTAGGAAGAAGTGAGAAAACCAGCCTGAAATACAGAACTACCAAGTCAATACTCCCAACAGGACTGAACCAAAATAGTACTCATAACTTCATTGCTTAAACATACTTTGGATTTTAAATTGAATTCAATGCACATTTTACATGACATGTTTATTATAACGATCAAAATAAAAATTCAACACAAGTACACAATTGATAATTTAAAATGCAACGTGAGAACTGAGATCTACTCACCTACCTAACCTAATACTTAATTCCTCAAAAGAAAAACCAGTTTCATAATCTCATCAAAACAACACTTTGCCCATATTAACACAAATCTATTTTCATGCTAAAAAGGATTTTACCACCTCTGGATGTGTATATTACTAGTCAAGGACTAAAAGCCTCACAATAAAACTCATAACTTTATAACTGCATTCAATAATCACATAAGTCAAAGAGAGTAGAAACAGAAATTAGTAGATTTTAGCCCTACCAAAATCCTCAAAACCCAGATCTTCACTTAACACACAAGAAAACACTAGAAGGAACCAAAAATGCATTGAAAAAAAAAAAAAAAAAACACACACACACACACATACACACAGAGCTAATGAAGATCTAAACAAACCCAACTGCAGATCTACACAAACCTGTTCAAGAAACACTTTCGAAAACCGGAAAATCAATAAGAATACAGTGTATACTTCCATGCAACATTAGAAACACAGATCCATCAAACATTCACAAGCTACAACCTAAATGAAAACCCAATTATGACATGTAAAACCCCACAAAGAAAAAAGATAAAATTCTCCATCTAACCTTATCCAACACTTTAAAAAGCACAGATCCGACACCAAGAATCCAACAAAACCCCCCCAATGAAAACAAAAGAAGACAAATTCTCCAGCCAACCATATCCAACAATTTATAAAGAACAACACAAATCCCACATATAACTACATACAACATTCGAAATCACAGACCCACCAAACAGTCACAAAATTCACAATCTTCAACCTAAACAACACATAGATCCGAATGTGCCTATACAATAACAGAGGGAAAAAAAAAAAAAAAAAAAAAAAAAAAAAAAAAAAAAAAACCGGAAAAAAAAAAAAAAAAAAAAAAAAAAAAAAAAAAAAGCAGATCCGGAAAAAAGCAAATGAGGGAATAAAAACCCAGAAAAAATAATGTAAAAATTCTCCACCGAACCATATCTACCAATTTAATAAAGCATATATATACATGTGTGTATTAAATAAACACACAAATCCCGTATATAACTACATGCAACACTTCAATCACAGATCCATGAAACAATCACAATCTTCAACATACAACACACAGATTCACACAAAAAATACGCAAATTATTATTCAAAAAAAGAAAGAAAAGACACAGATCGGAAAATTCACCTGGGCAGCGACAAGGCCACTAATGTGGGCCATATCACAGAGCAAAAGCGCGCCAACCTTATCCGCCACAGCCCTGAACCTCTTGTAATCCCAGTCCCTCGGATAAGCACTCCCACCGCAGATAATTAGCTTCGGCCTGAAATCCAACGCCTTCTCCTCCAATCGATCATAATCAATATACCCAGTCGTCGAATTCACCTTGTACGGCAAGCTCTCAAAGTAAATGGAAGTGGCCGAGATCTTCTTCCCACCGGAGGTGTAGTAGCCGTGGGTGAGGTGCCCGCCGGAGGGGAGATCGAGGCCCATGATGCGGTCGTGGGGCTGGAGGACGGCGGTGTAGGCAGCGAAGTTGGCGGGGGAGCCGGAGTAGGGCTGGACATTGACGCCCCACTTGGTGGGGTCCAGACGGTACGCCTGGAGGGCGCGTGAGCGCGTGAGGTTCTCTATCTCATCGATGAACTCGTTACCGCCGTAGTACCGGTTCCCGGGCATGCCCTCGGAGTACTTGTTGGTGAGGGGGCTGCCGAGGGCCTCCATGACCGCGAAGGAGGTGAAGTTTTCCGAAGCGATCAACTCGATCCCCCGGTATTGCCGGCGCTTCTCCTTCTCGATGAGATCGTGGATCTCCGGGTCCACGACGTCAAGAGGGGTGTTGGCCCAGGTGGTGACGGGATCCATTGTTGGGGAGGAGAGAGAAAGCTAGAGAGAGAAAGTTAGAGAGAAGAGGGAATGGCAGAGTGGTTTGAGGTGGGAAGCGGAGCTTTATAGGAGTGTCATTTGTTGGTGGAACTACGGTTTTACCCTTATTATAGGGAGATTATTTATTTATTTATTTTGGCCTTTTTACATGGTTATAGTACTTTTTACATGGAACTTGTGAGTGTCTATTGTCATTGTAATTTTTTTTTTGAGAAAAAAAAAATAGACGAAGATTTGAGATGAATTAAAATTAATAGGTTAATAGTTTACATAAATTAATAAATAGGTTAAATTACTGTTTTCATCCATAACTTGTGTGGTTATAAACCATAACTTGACAAGTTATTGTCCATAACTTATCTGGTTATGAATTATAACTTGATAAGTTATGACCTATTAATTTCTATAATTAAAAATTGACCTATATACTTTCTTAAGCTTTTTATATTGGCCTATTTCCTACCATTTCTGTTTTTTTTTTCATTTTCTTATTGGCGTGACTTAGAATGTAATTTGGCCTGGCCACAACGACAATCGTCTCTCTTATGATAAATTGCATGGTTGTACGCTAAACATTGATTTTTCATATAATATACCCAAAATTTTTAATCTTCACAAATTATATACTGAATTTTAAAATTAATAACAATTGAATTTTAATAGTTAACTATTGTTATTAAATAAATAGATTATAACACACAAGACCTATGTATTAAAGACAAAACTCATCACTTTCAAACCAAATCATGGTTACTAAACTATTAATTTGATAATACTTTATAACGGCTTTCAAAATTAAACATATTTAATTATACTAAATTATAAATTATTAGTGTGTCTAAGTAAATTTTCTCAATTATTCAAAGAACTTTAGGTTATTTTCAATATTTATGATTTCACCTTAAAAGTTTTGAAAAATACACTTAGGCTCCGTTCATTTCACCGATTCGAGTTTAGAATTCGAGTTTTTCTACAGTAAAAAGCTCTCGGAAACAGTGACATCTAACTTTTTTGCTACAGTAAAAAGCTCTCACATAAAATTATATCTTAATTCAAATTAAAAACTCGAATCAACGAACTAAACAAACCCTTAAATTCTAATGTATTTTCCTTTTTTTTCCATTTCTTCCACTTTCCTTTCTCTTTTTTCTTCTCTTTTCTTTTCTTTTCTTTTCTTTTCTTTTCTTATTCCTTTTTCTTCTTTTCCCTTTTCTTATTTCCTTCCCGTGGCTGCCCAACACACCTCTCTCTCTCTCTCTCTCTCTCTCTCTTTCTCTTTCTTTCTTTCCTTCTTTTTCTTCTCTCTCTCTTTTCTTCACCACGGCATCACTCTCTCTCTCTCTCTCCTCCTTCACCCACACCAGCCAACCACCTCTCCGGGCTCTCTCTCTCATGCCGGCCCTCTTCTCTCTCCAGCCTTCTCTCTCTCCGGCCATTTCTCTCTCTCTCTCTCTTACTTGACTGTTTGGCCGAGACCCTAAAAAAAACGAGAGAAATAGAGAGAAACAAGCTTCAATCACTTTGAGGTAAAGATTTCTTGAAAACCCATACTTGAATTTGAGTTATTGATTTGAGAATTTGTAATTTTGGTTAGATTTGAATAATTTTGAGTTAAAGTTTGGATTTGAACAATTATTGTTAGAATTGAATTAAATTTGAGAGATTTTACATAGAGCGTGTGAGTAGGCCGGGCCTGAGGAGAAGCCTTCAGGCCTAGTACTGGCCCTTGGCCCTAGTCTATAAGGGCCAGGGTCGGGTCGGGCCAATGCCCTTCACGGGCCGGCCCTAGCCCTTTTAAATTTTTTTGTAATATTTAATTAAAAAAAGAAAATATATCATATGCCCCCAAAAGATGTGATTTTATTGAATTGAGATAATACGAATAAGTGCACATAAATGACTGCCTCGTTAAAAACCTTTTCAAGTAAAACCCGTGGGGAGATCGGGACAAAACCTTAGCGAAGGAAAAAAGAGTATTGTATTCTAGGATAAGTAAATTACAAAACTTAAGTGCTTCCAGAAGATTCTGTTATGTCTAAGTTAGAAAAATATTCTTGAATTGAATCATCTATATATTATTATTTTCGTCTTCTGGCATCTCCACAGTCTTTAACGTAGATTAGCCCCTCCAAGATATCCTGATACATTCTGCTTCTCTTCTCATTAAGAATTTGGTTAATTGCACTAAATGCTTGCTCTGATGCTACCGTTGACACTGGAGTTGTCAGAATGTCACGGACTATTATGGATATTGTTGGAAAACGATTGGTCTTGCTCCTCCATCACTGTAAGATGTCCAATTTGTCGTCATCAATTACAAAATTTGATTCAAAATGTTTTACCAATTCTGTAGACGCTTGTGTTGATGATGATCCTGTTGTTCTCTTTCTTCTCTATGAAGCTCCATGATGAGCCTTTAGGCCCCGAATTGCTAGTTGACGTCGAAGTTCCCTGTTCTTTTTGACCAGTTCCGTATTTTGCTTCATACAAACCAAATAATTTTTCTAACATTTTCCTAGTATCAATAATAATTAGTTGCATATCAGTACCTAAATTTTTTGCTGTAGCAGTCATTACAGATTCGGTCCCATGTACTCCGCATCTAGGATCTAAAATGGTTGCTAATGCATATAACATAGGACAACCGGACCAATAACTTTTAAATTTATCTTCCATTAGCTTAACTATAGTTTCAAAAAGGTCAGTATCCCTTAATAAGAAAATGTTTCTAAAATATTAAAAAGTTGATGCAAAGTTAAATGTGAAGTAGGATAATAAACTCCATAAAGTAATTCAGTAGTATTGTAAAAAACTTCTAAAAATTTAAAAAAGTACTCACCAATGTTCCAATCTATATCGAAAATTAAAATTTGATCATTCTTACTGTTCACATACGTTGTGATGAGTTGTTGATACGGAAGTGTAGCCTTCAACACTAAGTAGGTGGAGTTCCACCTATGTCTCATATCAGTTAGAAACTTTCATAGACGCATCTGGCTATTCTTGCAATATTGTCAAAATTCTTGGAGCCGAGCTCCAGAACTAGATATGAAAGATAAAGATTCTCTAATATTTGTTAGATTAGAGGAAATATGTTCAATTCCTTCTTGTACCACTAAATTTATTATGTGACACGCACACCGTTGATGAAAAATTTCACCACCAAACTCTAGTTTCAAACTATGTTTAAACATGTTAATTGTAGCCATATTAGCTGACGCATTATCAAAAGTAATAGTTAAAATTTTATCCTCTAACCCATAAAACCCAAAAATTTCCATTATTGTTCCAAAAATAGCATTTGCGTTATGAGAAAATGGACTTAAACGAAAACCTATTATTCTCTTTTGTAAAACCCATTAATCGTCAACATAATGCGCCGTGACGCATAAATATCCAGTTTTATTGCACCCCTCCCATAAATCAGAAGTACAAGACATAATAGCATTAAAAGACCTAAAATTATGAACTAGAGATTTTATCATTACATAAAACACTTTCATGCAATCAAAACGAGTTATGTTTCTACTTACCCGTTTAAATTGTGGGCAGAAGGTTGTCTGTATGAATTCTTCAAATGCTACATCTTCTGCAAAAGAAAGAGGTAATTCGACACTAGTTAAAAATTTAGCTAGTGCTTCACGAGCACGTTATGCATCATATGTAAAATTTGTAACCATTGTGATGTGAGTGATAGTGTTTGCTGGAGGGAGTCGACCCTCCTACCTTGGTGTGATGGTAGACATGCTTTCCAATGTCTATCCAGATGACCAATACCCCTACCCTTTTTATTAGAAAAGTGCTTTTTATAATATTTACATACCGCACAAATTTCTATTTCACCTATTTTTAGATTTGTTCGGGACTCCTCTGTGAATTGTTGCCATGCGGGAGAAGTTCGCAGTCTTTTTCCCCTGTTACGTTCCCTAACTTCCTCATTGTGCATTGAAGCATTATCATCCAGAGCAGTTTTCGATTCAGTGGGGGTGGTGTTGAGGGCCAACATTTCATCCTCATAAAATACCTTATCACCAAGCTCAGGGAGAGCAGTGAACTCAAGGCAATTTGATGCGGCCATTTTCTGAAAAAAAAAATAGAAACTACTGTTATTGTAACGACCCTACTACGTGGTCGTTACTTAACTATAACTATACTCTGATACCAACTGTAACGACCCTGCTACGTGGTCATTACTTAACTATAACTATGCTATGATACCAACTGTGATGACCCTACTGAGTGGCCGTCACTATTACTACCTTTAACATATCCATTCTAAAACTCCCCAAAATTTGAGGGACATTTTTTTATGCTGTATAGCATGGTGTAGCATTTTTATTTTTTTTAAATGCTATATAGAATGTTGTAGCACTTTGTTATAACCTAAATAAAATGCTATACGAATGCTGTAACATTCTGAAACAAAATGCTATAGTGAATGCTGTAGCATTCTGGGCATAAGTTTCTTTCTCTTAAACAAAACTATATCATTCATTTTAAAATTACTGTAACGACATAAATTCTAAAATGAGCTTTTGCTCAGCAAGTAGGAACTATGTCACGCCCCCAAACAGGGGTTAGTGACATGGAGGCTTGTTTAGAAATTAAACCTGATTAAGAGGGTGGTTAAACCATTAACATTTCAAAATTTGATTTTCAAAACCAGAACACTCAGGTATTTCTAAACAAGCCCCACTATTTTAATGAAATCGAGTTTTTAGAAAGGGTGAGGTGGACTCTAGAAAACACAATCACTGTTAAGATCGGCTTCAAAAGTCAGCCTCTGGCGTCCACAGGCTTACAATTTGTGCACACATAATTAAATACAAAAAAGTAAATAACTGGCATCAACCACAGTCTAGTTATGTTTAAAGTTTACAATTCATAGTTAATACATGCCTTTATAAGTCTGATAGTGAAGGAAGATACTTCACCGCTTTCTTTCTTCTAGAATTGAATTCCTCACCTATTCTGCACTACGTCTAGCGTCACCCTGTGGGGTTAATACATTTTGAAACATAGGAAAAATGAGCGAAATGCCTTGTAGG